TATATATATATATATGTATACTAGTGCTAGATGCTACTGGTTCACTGTGCACTGTACTGAAGCTAGGTGCTACATGCACAACGAAGCAATGTGCTACAGGCTCAGTATGTACTGAGGCCAGGTTTATTATGTACTGAAGCCAGGTGTTACTGGTTCCCAAGGGCACAAGGTTGGTGGTATGGCAGGGTTCGAACCAGGGACCTCTTGGTTCCGAGTCGAACACTCTACCGTTACGCCACTAATTTTCGTTTTCCCCGCTTTCCATTACAGAAAACGTGCCGGCATGACCGACAGTGCATCTACCAAATACCTGTATAACGGTTATGTGTTGAACATGGCGTCTGCATTCTCAGAACCTGTGGAAGAATTCTACAGTGGGTTAAAACTGGATTATTTCAATATTTTTCCCGCTTTCCTTTGCAGAAAACGTGCCGGCACGACCGACAGTGCATCTCCCGAGTCGGCCCGGGTTCGTGCTGTGCGCCTCGCAGGCCCATCTTCAGCCCGCTGCCCGTCTGCAAAACTGCCGGACAGGTCGGTAATGTTACTTAATCATAAAATAAAGACTAAGCTTTAACTTCCAACACTAACTACAATGAATTGGGACTTGTACGTCCACGCCAGCGTGTTGATGGTGTTCAGCACCAAGGACAGGACCTTGTACTGAAGTCAGCTGATAACACTGGTACCGTATCCAGAACCGCTAGTTCCATACCTGAATGGGTTATGGTACGATCAATTCACGGTTTAGGTATGATTCTATAAACAGGTGGACTTTCCAGAACCTTGCCTGAGCATGGTTCTGGATAAAGCTTGAAGAACGGTTCTGGCGTTCAGCACCAAGGACAGGTACCTAAAGACAACTGATTATGCATAATCAGTTGCCTTTAGGTACCTGTCCTTGGTGCTGAACGCCATCCACACAATGGTGCAAACGCACTGGGTAGATAGTATCATAACCAGAACCATGCCTGTCAAGATCTAGGCCTGAATGGATTTTGGTTAGCATAAGGCACGGTTCAGGATAGTCCAGACTGATGTATCCAGAACCGTTCTTTAAGCTTTATCCAGAACCATGCTTAGGCCAGGTTCTGGAAAGTCCACCTATTTACATAATCACACCTGAACCGTGAATTGATCGTACCATAACCCATTCAGGTATGGAACTAGCGCTTCTGGATACGGTACCAGTGTTATCAGCTGTCTTCAGTACAAGGTCCTGTCCTTGGTGCTGAACACCATCAACACGCTGGCGTGGACGTACAGCTGGGTAGTATACAATTTTACCTGACGATTAGCATGCAGATGTAAGTTCTAAAACAATTTATAAGGCTACTGTCGTAAAGTACGGGAAGTGTATCTGTCCTTGGTGCTGAACGCTATCCACACAGTGGTGCAGATTAACAGGTAGTTAGGATAGACTGTGCTCCATTGTAATGTCTTGTCTTTGTCAGCACGGTTAGCCCTTTACCATAGCCTAGTTGGGCTACCCTGTCTGTGTGTGCTGAACAACCAAACCGATAAATAAATGATGACCAATTGTTGCCAAATGGTCAATGTCACTCGGCAAAAAGACTACACTGGAATTTGATATTTTACGCCAAAAAGCAGAACTTTACTGAAGCAACTGGATATGATTTTGGAAACGGTCAAGACGTTACAGCTATTATCCACTAGCTTTCGTCAGTGACTGGACCGTTTCCAAAATCATATCCAGTTGCTTGAGTAACTGCTTTTTGGCGTATCGTATTACCTGGATGTCTAACCTTCATCGACGTAATTTGACATTTTGACCACCTAAATCCAATATGGCGTCCTGTTCTCCGCTCTCTTTCCCAGGTCGGCGACATGTGTCAGAGGTCAGGGGAGGGACTCTCGTACCCAACGTCCGTGTGGCACCGCCAGTACATCTTCACCTGCCCATGCGCAGTAGGCCTGAGGTGCCAGCTGTCTCCCGGGTACAACGACATCGGAACCTGCGTGTACATGTAGCCTATACCAGGCTCCTCAGGCTACATGTAGCCTCTACCAGGCTGCTCCATAGGCTGCTGAAAAAAAAGTAGTCTCTAAGTGCACTCTTCTGTTCGACTAACTCCTCTGAATAATCAGACGGATACAGTTAATATATGTATCAAGTATAAATAAAGGCACAAACAAACAAATAAAGATGTAGTATGCGCACATTGTACTTCACGTTTCTCTGTTGTTTCTAAAAAAACAAGCCAATACAAGTACAAATGACGCGCGTGTGTGTAGTATGACAGTATGTGCGTGTGTGTATGTGTGTGTGTGTGTGTGTGTGTGTGTGTTTGCATGCGCGTGCGTGCGTGTGTGTATGTATGTGTGTGCGTGTATGTGTATGTGTATGTGTGTGTATGCGCGTGTGTGTATGTGTGTGTGGGTGTAAGTGTGTGTACCGCTCGATAGTTGTCCATGGTAGCCAGCGACACGAGAGAGCCGGCGGTAACTACGGAGGCTGTTACCCAGGCTACTCCAAGTCTTGGCCCCCTATTTGCTTTTGTTGAATGTTCGGCGTCAAATTAGTCTACTGTGAGTGACAGCTAGCCTCTACCAGGCTTCGGGAGGCGGCTGGAAAGAGTAGAAATTGGCCAAAGAGAGAGAGATAACATGCCGGGGGTGATGGTTCAATAGAGAGTACAGTTTGCCGCACCCGAACTGTACTCTGTAGCGGACCAAATCCCCTGGCATGTTATCTCTCTCTTTGGCCGATTTCTACTCTTTCAGCCGCTTCCAAAGCCTGGTAGAGGCTAAGTGACAGCCGTTTTGTACAATCAAGGACGTTATATGCCCCCTCGAAGGTTCTAAATATATAGTAAACAATATCAATGGTTAAATCTAAATATAGACTAGATAACATGCTTACATCTAAATAAAGACGACATAATATGGCTAAACCTAAATATAGACTACGTAGTGTGGTTAAACCTAAATATAGAATAGATAACATGGTTAAAAAGTTAAACCCTTTCATAGTCATGTATATAAACAAAAGAGATGAAATCCCCCCAAAATAGTCGCCTTTCGCTCCGCGCTAATCCCCAGTTCCTGTTGCTATTTTCCGCGACAATGTGACAAAGCGGACTGGCGACATTGTGACGTCTGACCCGCCAGAAATGTAGCCGTCCTTCCGTGAGCCTGTGGGGCGCTGACCTGGAGGGCGGGAAGCTTTTTTTACTCCGGAACGGGATCCGTCACGCTCGCCCCCTCCCCCCTCCTCCTGAAAATGACAAATCAACACAACCAACGTCATCAAACCCCCATGGCACTAATCGCCAAGCAGATGTCTGGTGGGAAAATCGTTACGGTTAGAACTGGTGATCTGATAATGATGATGATGAATGTTTATTAAAATATTAATCACTTGCATTCAGTACATTCCTACTCTGGTACTATCATACTTCAATAAAAGGTGGTAATAAACACTTTCGTAAGATCTGAGGTTGCATACTTGGAGGGTTTCAAATAGCCCAAAACAAGCCCTAATTTTTTTGTACGCATACGTACACATACACACACACACACACACACACACACACACACACACACACATACACACACATACACACACACACACACAAACACACATACACACACACACACACACAAACACACATAAACACACACACACACACAAACAAACACACACACACAGACACACATACGCACACAAACACACACAGACACACAAATACACACACGAACAAACACACATACACAAACACACAAAGACACACACACACAGACAAATACACACAAACACACATACACACACGCATACGCACACACACACACGCACGCACGCACGCACGCACACACACACACACACACACACACAAACACATACACACACACACACACGCACACACACACACATGCATACACATACACAAATACCTAGAACCAGCCTACAACACGACACAAGCGAACGGACCTTTTTTTTATGCACGAGATTCTCAAACTGGCCTGCAGGCCGCTTTTCAATAAGGTCATGAGGGTAGAGGCAAGGGTCAGACAAAATATATGTAAAACGCCAAGGTCCTAAAAAGAGTTGACGGAAAAATTGTTGTAACAGAAAGGGGACTTCATGATGCATGGTGTGATAGATTGATTGGGATCTGAATCTCACACAAACATTCTATGCATATCTAGCTGCTATAGTGTTCGCAGAACATAGTTAAGCCCATTGTAGCAAATTTCCTCGCCTCGCCTTTTAACTCGTAGGATCAACCCTACACTTTTCAGTAAGTGTGGTACATTGTATAAAATAGCCTCTGCCAGGCTCTACACACACACAAACCGACATATGAAGCCTGGTCGAGGGTAAGACAGGTTTATTTATTTATTTAAATTGCAAACAATACAGTGCAATACAGTGGAAGCCCTGGCAGCTGAGCTGATGTCGGGCCCCACGTTGTGAAATACATACATACATAATCATACACACATCATAACACAATAAAGTAACGAATTTCATACCCTACGATCCATAACCTAGGCTAATGCAATGTATACAAAAAAGTAATAATAAATCAGTATGGTAGGAGGCCAGAGGTCATTCAAAATATATAATATTTACAAACATATATTATTTTCAATATTTACAATGTTGTAGGAATAGATGGAAGGACTAAGAGTTATGTAATTAGAATCGGTTTGTTGATGAAATGTAAGTGTGAAGAGCGGCCGAAAGGTTTTGATCTGTAAGAGGGTCGTGACCTGGATAACCGTTGAGAAGGATGTTTGTAGAGACAGGTTACAAGCCTGTGGATCCTGATCGAGGCTAAGGAGAGGGTACCAACCTGTCTACCCTGGTAATGGCCATCTGTCTTGTAGCCACTAAAAGATCTGCTTCGTGGCTAGGACAGGGTACTGACTCGTGGATCCTTGTCGAGGCTAGCACAGGGTACCTACACCTGATCGAGGCTAGGACAGGCTACCAACCTGTCTAGCCTGGTAGAGACTAACTGTCTCGTAGTAGTCACCTAAACAACTGCTTCTAGGCTACTACAGGGTACCATCCTGTGGAGCCTGATTGAGGCTAGGACAGGGTACCGTCCTCTGAAGCCTGGTCGAGGCTACGTTTCTCGTAGCCACCAAAAGGTCTGCGTAGAGACTAGGGACAGGATACTAGCCTATCTAGCCTGGTAGAGTCTATCTGTCCCGTAGCCACCAAAATGTCTACGTCGTGGCTAGGACAGGGTACTGACCCGAGGAGCCTTGTCGAGGCTAGGACAGGGTAGCCAGGGTAGTCTTTGCCAGGCTTCAAATGGTACACGTCCTTTGGAGCCTGGCCGAGACTAGTGACAGGTTACCTTTGACACATAACGAAGCTTGTCCCTGCCCCGGGGTTACGTGTTGTTCCGGGTGGTCTTTGTGCAGCATTAGGCACGGCCGCCGGGCGACATTCCACACACTTATCATGGACGGGTAACAGCTCAGGTCAGGTACACATACACATACAGAGAGAGAGAGAGAGAGAGAGATGAAGAGAGAGAGAGAGAGTCAGGGAGAGAGGGGGGGAGTGAGTGAGAGGGACAGGGGGAGACAGAGACAGATTGCCCGGCCGCCGGGCACATTCCCCACGCTTATCATTAACGGGTAACAGCTCAGGTCAGGTAGACATACACATACAGAGAGAGAGATGAAGAGAGAGAGAGAGAGAGAGAGAGAGAGAGAGAGAGAGAGAGAGAGAAAGATAGAACCATCACACTTATCGAAAAGATTAGGGGTATGCCCCGGTGTCAATGGTTCAAACCTTACAACCCGGTCTTACGCAGGTAAACATGTACAAAATTGCTACGCCTAAAGGCGCTTTACCGCAACATCCGAAGGAAACGTTATGTTTTGGGCTAGTTCCGATGACCGTGACACGGCGCCATACCCGCGACTTCAGTTTCCGTTTCCAAACTGTGGTTTCGAGGTTTTCGCGTGGACCTATGTTTTGTTTAAGCTGTTCCGTACTCCGTAATACATTGCAACCTTGTCCCAAATATGTTACCGCCCGCAGCGGACAGTTATTTATTTGCGGTCCATCCATGTTTTAAACGAAAAGAATACAATGCAGATATGTCTAAACATAAAGAACTTAAATACCAAGGACGGAGACGATTGACAGGTTCCTGCACTCTCCGTTTGTTAAACAACAATCAGCACAAAGGAAGAGGTACCCAAGGATAAAACTGTAACACGACCGTGTGTATATGCAGGAGTCAACTTGTTTACCAGCAGGTTCCTAGCTATAGTATAAGACATATATATGTGGTAGGGTACCCAGCATGATGCGTCGGTGAAGGTTAGACATCCATGTGATAAGATACGCCAATAACACTTACTCAAGCAACTGGATATGATTTTGGGTACCAAAATCGTTTTTCCAAAATCATATCCAGTTGCTTATTATAATTAACTGTTTTCTTAGTACCTAGCATGATTTTAGATGCCGCTGCTGTCATTGTTCAGACATTGCCCATAAAAGTTTCGAACGTTGAGGATTTGCTAATTGACACTTTCTGTTGGCTGTTGACAGTCGCATGATGAGTCTGACTTTAAAACCAACTGAGGGTGTAGCTTGGACATGAAAAAGTATAAACAAGAGTTTTACAAAATCTAGAGTTGCATCACAGATATCCATCATGTCGTTGCGAGAAAAAATATTAAGAGTGTGGAGATCAATGTCTATCTTTGTACTTGTATGTAATTAGTGTAGGAGCCCTGGAAGATTAGCTAAAGGGCGTCCTAATTAACTAAACTTAACTCAATCAATCAATCAATCAATCAATCAATCGGATGGGTGTGGACAGGCAGACAGACAGACAGACACATCGATGATCGAGACGCTGACAGCCTCGCCATGCCGCTGGAAAAATTCTTTTGTGTGTAGACTATCAACTCTTAAAGTGACCATTGCATACATCAATCAGTCCAATGGGGTGTGGACAGACAGTGTGACTACATTGAGACATGAGGTGACAGCTGACTGAACTAGGATATCTTGATGGAGTAGACGTCTCAATTCAGGAGCGAAGTCGACAACAGCGTGGCGGGAATTTGTGTAGGCGGGACGAATCCACGGAACGACCCGTCCGCGACTCTTTGTCGCCGAGTCATCTCCCATTCTCCTCCCGTCAATGGAGTACAAATATACATGAAAATA